AGAGAGAGAGAGAGAGAGAGAGAGAGAGAGAGAGAGAGAGAGAGAGAGAGAGAGAGAGAGAGAGAGAGAGAGAGAGAGAGAGAGAGAGAAGTGTAACCTTATTTGTGTTGCTTGTTATAATGTCCAGAATCTGATGAACGCACATTGATGTATATCATCTCTAGAAATTTATCGACTGGAGATATCATCTTCGGGATTGGATGTCTTTCTTGGCGCCTCTGTGATTCACCCAGTGTGATGTCCTTGTCGTCACGCCGACATTTTCCACTTTTGCCACTCAGCCATGTCGGCTGTAACGACTTTTTTTGAGTGAGTGAAACCACAACACACAACACTGTGTGAGAATTCCTCTCTTTGTTAAAAAAAAAAAGAAAAAAAAAAAAAGAAAAAAGAATTCCTCTCTTGGAAACAACCAAGACATATCTCCATCCTCCTGTAACCTCTTCCCTCGTCGTGTGCACACATCATCCTTCTCTCAGAGTTCTTTCATCTCCAGTGTTGTTGACTCTCTTTCTTCTCCCTCCTCTGCTTGATCCCCTCGGAGTCCAGTTTAGGCGGAAAGACAAACTTAAAGGGGCTGCCAAGTCAGAATCCTGAAGAACGAAAGGAAGGCAAATGTGTCGCTCCCCTTTCTTTCTTCAGGATCGTCTACAACTTTGAAAAACGTATCTCATTCATAAAAAAAAAAAAAAAAAAAAAAAAAAAAAAACCGTATCTCATTTAACATTTAAACAGGTTAGGCTCCTTTGGGTGATGAGGTTAACGGTCTCCAGAACAGGTTAGGGTCGCTTCAGTATCGCTCACTCAACTCGCACGATCGTCTGCGACTTTTGAGTGAGTGAACGGAAGAGAATATATGTTGTCACAATTCCTCTTTGAAGCCGGCAACCGTGTTGTGTTTCTGTGTGCATGCCTATCAGAAACACAACACGGTTGCAAGTTTGGATTATACCCCCGTCTTTTGGTGTGCACGGCTGTGTCGTCTAGCATGCCTGCGTTGTCCTTTGGTGTACACACCGGTTTCGTCTTTCGAATTGCCTGCAAGGTCCCGCTTGGAAGGCAATGTTGTGTTCTGCCTCTGACGGGGGTATAATCCAAACTTGCAAGTCTTTCTTGGAAGGCAATGTTGTGTTCTGCCTCTGACGGGGGTATAATCCAAACTTGCAAGTCCTGCTTGAAAGGCAATGTTGTGACGGGGGTATAATCCAAACTTGCAAGTCC